GTAATGTGAATGTGAAAATGGTGAGATAGGGGGTAATACCTAGATATACACCAAAAGAAAAAAAGCATCAGGATTTGACATTAGGTATGGTTGGAAATAAAGCAGAAAAGAAGGAGATATAGGTGCCCTTGAAGCTGTGGGCAACGGAAACTGGGACATAGAAAAGCCGCACTCATGACAGCAAGAACAAAGTAAGATGGAGCTGACTTTACACTGAGCATCCACTGAGTTTCAGCTTGCCTATGAAATGTCAAAGTTAAGATATCTTGCTAGTATAAATTATACATTTGGGTTGAAAATATAGACTTTGAAAAGGAGTGTAACTATGTTGAGTAAATGGTGTTTTGAAGGTGTGAATATACAATAGGAACCTTAACCATCAGAGGTGCTGTGTGAATGCCTGAAAAAAATGCCAATTTTTGTGTATGTTTTGATGTAAAAAATGCAGCTCACATTCTAAATTGGTTGTGCAGGAAAAAGAAGTTCAATAAATTAATTTAGTCCATTACTAATCAATTTTTCTCTCCTGAATGCTCATCTGCTAGTAGGGGGAAAATGAAACCAATTAAATGTCCAATCTGGTTTAAATTTAGCCTATTTGAGAAATATGAAAAGTCCCTGTCAGCAATTTCCTAACTTGCCAGGAATCCAAAGCATGGGCGCTCAGAGAATCTGCATCTCCTATTTCTTTCACTACCGTGGTACGGAGGGGATGAGGAAAGGGCCTCATGTGGGTCTTCGGATTGTTATGGTAGGTATCCATTGTTATTCAAGGACATGGTCCTTGGCCCACCTGACTGCTGTGCAGTTCTGTCGGCCTTGAATGCTGAACTCTGAGGTAAAGATATGATTCTAGGGAGCAGTGCATCCTGCCCTTGCTGACTTGACTTCTCTCATATCTCACTGGCTCTCGGATCATCCTTCATCCAGCCTCTGTCTATCACAGCCTCTGTGGTGTTTGCTCACTTTGCCATTTGGCCTTTTGTGGCAGGGCTGGCCACATGGCAGGGTGTTTAGCTCTCAACCTAACATCCATACCACATAAGAACTGAGGCATGCAGGGTAACTATGCTTCCTTGTTGGCAATAGCTGACTGTTGTGACCAAGGGAGACTGGCACAGGGCTGTACGCTCAGTGAGGCAAAAGGAGAAGATGAAAATGTGGAATTAACTCCCTTCCCTGCCTCTTTCCAATACAGGCTCATGTGAATTTTTCTGTGAATTGAAAGTCTGTAGGTTTATCAGAATCTCGAAGTGATCACTTTCTCGAAGTGATCAGTTCTCAAAGTGATCAGTTATGCATTCAAGTGTTAAGGACCTCCATAGAGATAGAGGCAGAAAAGTGCAGGTAAACCTGGAAGGAAGAAAGAGGGGATGAAAGAGAAGGAAAGGCTGGAGTTGGGAATAGAACAAACAAAGTTCAATGTAAGGACAATCAAAGCAAAAAAGGAAGGAAATGAGCAGGACAAGGTGATCTGTGGTAGCACATGACACTGAAAAAAAGTTGGAGGTTTACACCAGTCAGAAGCAATGATCAGTTCTGTAGAAAATATGAAAATATTCAGTTTTCCATCAGTCTGCAGATGGTCCCACTTGGGGTAAAGTGTTAAAGAGTCAGTTCTCAATAGGTGCCTTAAAGTGTATGAACAAGTACATGCTTACTAGACTGATATAACTTAGAGAACTCCTCCGGGAGGAGGAGAAGGATTTAGGAGTGATAGCAGCCATAGTGGGACGAAGTGGTGAAAATGATGTAAGATTTGCGTATACTAACATGTTTTGTAAGTGCTTGGCTGCAAAGCCTGTGTAGGGATAGCTGACCAGTCAAGGGAACTGGGTATGTAATTTTGGACAGCCTTGTTGTTATAGACATCTTTGATGGCCAAACGAGGACCTCTCTGCATAATCATGTCAAACAGTATGATAGATAATGGTCCTCGTAGAGTTTAGAAAAGAAGACATTGGGTAGCAAGAATTTGTCAGTGTTTTTTCAGCACTGTCTATGTATCAGGCTTCTGACCTCTTCTGATGAGATTCTACCTGGTTGATCTGCGTTATTTGCTATACACATAAATTTATCACATTCTGTTCTGCATTTCCCTGGGCACTGCAGGGCAGAAACCTGGAACCCTATTTTTCAGAATCCTTTTCCTTATATGGTTCTAGATTAGAATCTTCTAATCTGCACAGTATTTGGAAGGTGGAAGAGAAGGTGCCATTCTGCAGCTGCAGTTGTAAGCTGATGTCTGAACAGATGGCAGCCGTATGGTTTGCAGTGGTTCCCAGGTGTGTGCCTGAGAATCACATGCTTCTAGCTGTAGCTTTCCTGACCTTTGATTCCCTAGCTTTTCCAAAGGCTGCATAAGCCTCTAATGCCCTGCAGTACAACTCTTCTACGTGGAGACCTAAGGAGATTCTGTTTCCCTGATGGAATCCAGAGTGAAGCATTGGAGCAGTGTCGACCCTCAAAAATATTGACTTCCTTTTGCTTTAATAATCAGCAGTTAATAATTATTACTAATAATCTAATTATTATTATATTGTGGACACACTGATGCCAAGAAAGGCATATGCTAGTATCTTGGTTTGAATTCACCTAAAAGAAGGTTTTGAGATGAGTACTTGGAAGAAACTGTTTATTTAGGAACTAGTTCCATGATACACATGATGACATGAGGCAGGAATGGGGAAAATGAAGTGGAGAAGCCACTGAGGGTATGTTAATGAGATAATTACTTCTGTGGACAGCTGAGTTTAATCCCACTTGAGTCTACCTGAGGAACCGTTGAGATTGCCCCTAAGAAATATTGCAATAAGGCTGGTGTCAAGATGGAGTATTTATTCCCATACACCTGTTCCTCCATGGCTGAGGGTTACCTTTGGGGGTGACATTCAATCCCCTGCACCTACAGGGTCTCCTGCTCACAGGTAAAGAAATGCCCCTCTGTGTTGGAAAAGGCCCTCAGGCAGAGAGGTAGAGAAATGTGAGGTGGGGAAGGGGAGTTTCTGGGTTAGTGGCACTGACGTCCAGGCCCCTGTTGTACCATCGGCATATGGCTTCCCTACAGGTCAGCTTGCCTCTTCTACTTCTGTGCAGTGGCAGAAGAGGAAGTCAGAGTGCAGAAGGATGAGGGGGTGGAGAGAGGAGTGAGTGCAGACAAAATGCCCTAGGAGTGTGAAGGCAAGCACTGAAAATAGCAAGAATTTAGCTTAGGGGCCTCAGGCGAGCACCACACACACTTGTGTTTATTCCCTTCCATCTTCTCTCTCTTTTTCTCTCTCCTCCTCATCTTCTTCAAAATAATTTATGTTTCAGATAATGCATACAACAGAGCTTTAACTCAGTCACTTTTAAAGACTTTAGCCTAAGATTTCCCATAACATTAAACAAGATTCCTTCTTCTAAATGGCCTCTCTCTGGACTGCTTCTTCCCCGCATCCCCACCAGGCTGAGGGAAAGCAATCACTTGCCTTCAGCAAATACACATAAAACTGCTCAGAAAATATAGGTTGCCTTGGAAACCAAACCAAAAGAGAACAGAAAGATAAGCACGAATATTAAGGATTTTTTAGGCCTTAATGACTTATTTTTCCCAAATTCGAATTTTCTTGGCCTATGAAAAAGTGAACCACAGTCCCCTTTCAGGCATATACCAGGTGAATCCTAAAGTCACTCCTAACCTCAGGTTTCTACACATTTTAATGCTTTCTCACCAGCCCTTCTATCTCTTTTTCTCCCTTCCATGAGATTATAACAGAGCCATTGTAAATAACCCCTGGTGGCACCTGAATTGATAGGAGTGCTGTGGTGGACAGCACAAGAGTTTGGAGTTAGACAGACTTGGGTCTGACTCAGCTCTGCTGTGATATTTTTCTGTCAGCATTTGACACTGGCAACTTATTACACGGGGGCATCTTTTTTATTTATTTATTTAATTTTTTTTTTTTTTTTTTTGAGATGGAGTCTCGCTCTGTCACCCAGGCTGGAGTGCAATGGCGTGATCTCGGCTCACTGCAACGTCCGCCTCCTGGGTTCAAGAGATTCTCCTGCCTCAGCCTCCCAAGTAGCTGGGATTACAGGTGCCTGTCACCACTCCCGGCTACTTTTTGTATTTTTAGTAGAGACTATGTTGGCCAGGCTTGTCTCGAACTCTTGACCTTAGGTGATCTGCCTGCATCGGCCTCCCAAAGTGCTGGGATTACAGGTGTGAGCCACCACATATAGCTGGGGCATCTTGACTATTTATTTTATAAGTTAAAAAGCTCTAATATTGCCTTGCAAAATGAAGAGGGCTTCGAGGTCCAAGGCATTTCTTTTTTTGTCTTTTCATCTTACTGTTTATATTCAAATCTGAGACTTATTTCTTGTTATAAGCATGATTTTCTTAGTGCTGTAAAGTATTGTAATACAAAAAATTCAGTTACGCAAAATACACATACACATAAAACCCCTTTTATTTCCCCATTTATTTCTCCATAGCTCAGGACTATCTCAGAAAGTTAGTCTTTACTGATTTGAAAAAGAACAAGGGACACTATTGCCATTGGCGATATTATTATGTCAATTATCCAAAGGTCCTTTCTTGAAGTTCCAAGATGACATTTTGTACCGAAGCTTGGGGAGGCCGCATGGAGAGAGCTTCAAATCAGAAAATGTGTGTTTGAGTTTCAAATCATGCAATTTGTCAGCTAAGTAAACTTGAGCAGGTACTTACACTTTTTGAGTCTCAATTTTCTTAAAAGTCATAGAATGATTTCCTTTTTTTTTTCTTTTTTTTTTTTTGGAGACGGAATCTCACTCTGTTGCCCAGGCTGGAGTGCAGTGGCACGATCTCTGCTCACTGCAAGCTCTGCCTCCTGGGTTCACGCCATTGTCCTGCCTTAGCCTCCCAAGTAGCTGGGACTACAGGCCCCCACCACCACACCCGGCTAATTTTTTGTATTTTTAGTAGAGATGGGGTTTCACCATGTTAGCCAGGGTGGTCTCGATCTCCTGACCTCGTGATCCACCCACTTCAGCCTCCCAAAGTGCTAGGATTACAGGCGTGAGCCACTGCTCCCTATCCATAGAATGATTTCTAAATGCCTAATCAAACTGTTGTGAAATTTCTTTATTCCTAATAACAGCTAACATTCATGGAGCATCTACTATGTGCCAAGAACTGTTTTAATGCTTCCCATGGGAACTCATGCAAGCCTCCCAGCAATCCCATGATAGTTGAAGTACTTAAGGTTACCCTGATGTTATCTCGAGGAAGCTAAAGGACCTGGGTGGATGCCTTGCCCAGGATCACACAGCTAGTTAAGTGGCAAATGCAGAATTCAAATTCAGGAAGCCCAGCTCCAAATTGTTACCACCAACAGAAAATACTTATTAAGTGCTTACCAGGTACTATGTTAAGCATTTTATAAAAGAAGTCTAATTCATTCCACAGTATAGGTACAATGATTTCCATTCCTGCTGTGCAGATAAGGAAATAGGCTCAAAATCTGAGCTGAAGGAACTTGTCCAAGGTACTATAATTCACAAGTGGAAAATGTTTCTTTTGCTTATAATATTGTTTCTTTTGCTTATAATATCACCGCCTCCTTTGGCTAAATGCTCATTATTTTTCACGTCTCAATTTAAATTTGCTTCTTTTGTTTGTCTCCTCTGATAGTCCTACACTAGGCTAGACCTCCTTTTATATGTAGTTTTAGTAATCTGTGTATTCTCTTTGTAGTAGCCACTACAATTTGATTTAGTTGTCTTTATGTCCCTCTTTGGTAAATACCTGCCTCTCCCACAAGTACAGAGTTACATGGAGACAGGGATTGCATCTATTTCTGCTTACCAGTGTATCTCTAACATTTAGCATGTATTAGGTGTGCACCAAATATTTAATAAATTAATGCACTTTAAACTTTCTTAGATTGATGCTGATAAACACTAGAACGTAAACTGGACAAAAAGATTTCCATGCTGTATTTCTGTAAATAATAGCGATAGGAGTCTTGAGAAGAAAAATAGAAATGAGATGAACTCAAGGGAAAGTCAAGACTCTACTATGAAAAAGGATGTAATTTTAGGAAGATGAAGGTAAGTGACTCATCATTTTAAGTGGAAAAAAAATCCAAAACCCAGATTTAATTCAAAACTATGTAGGCATTCTCTCACAGCAGCCAGACACACCCTAAATAGAGACAGGTATGTCAAAAAAGAATTGTGGCGAGTCATGAAGTGGACTCAAATTAGAATCATCACAATTTACCAATGTTTTTAAAGAGAACTGCTGGGCAAAAGCACTGTAAATTTGGACAAAAATGGACAGGGATGGTTCAAACAAATTTTTGCTGGGTTCCCAAATTTTTACAAGTAGAAAGGAAGCAATCTGAGAACACTTCTCAGTTTCAAACATGTGTCATTTCTTACAGAAAATGAAGGACATCTCAGATGGTGAAAACAAAAGTGTAGGGAGTGGAACCAAGAAACCAAGGACAATGGGGGAGGAAACCACTCCCTGGGAACAGAATTGCATTCTAATCAGGGATCATTCCTTGTAATTCTATGTGGAAAATCTGACTGTATATATCCAGCTGGACTTCAGAAGTACTACAAAATAGCAACTACCGTATGTATCTCCTTTCTTTTCTTTTCAAATGAGAATCTCTGTGATGATTATTTTGTCCCTGTTTCAGTATTGCATGTTAGGTATGTAAAGAGCAGATATCTTTTCTTAAGTTTGAGAGGTCTCTGGGTCAACATGCGACATGTGAGGACCCTCATCCACATATGAAGAAGATATAAATTGCAAGATATTAGATTTTGAGACTGCTGTCATGTTGGATCAGATTTTGAGGCAGTCATAGATGCTCAGTGTATTTTGCATTGTGAATAATTTAAATATTTTAAACCAGAGAGTGGACTGTGGTAAATTAAAACAAAATAGACACAATATTTAGCAGTTTCTCTCATTAAGAGGTGGAATTTACTTCTCAACCCCTTAAGTGTGGATTTAACTATGTGACTTGCTTTGACAGGTGGCACATTGGAAAATATGATGCAGGCAGAGGTTTGAAAAGTTCTTGTGCATTGGAGTCACTCTTTCTTGTTCTGGGACTTCTCCATTTGAAAAGAAGGAACTAGCTTCCTGTAAGATGAGATCCAATGTGGAGAAAGTCCCATCAATCTCAGACAACTCAGAGGATCATGAGCTAAATACAATAGTGTTGTTTTAAACCACTACATTTTGAGGTGTTTTGTTATGCAGCAAAAGCTAACTGATATTGGTTGGATTTGTACAGATAGACAGAAAATGAGAGGTTAAGGAGTTCCATTTCTATCTTCCAATAAAATAGCATTAATGGAATAACATTTGTTAAGATAATGCAAAGAGATGTATGTGCTATAGCAACTTTTTCCCCCTCCAGCTTATAAATTTAACTAACACACAGACAGCTACACAAGTCCAGAAGGTACAGAGATTTGCATCAGCCGTTAATCAAGGCCTTCCAGTTAGGATTATATTGTGAGATAATGCATTGGAAGAAAGCTGAGGCACCAAACCAACTTTCAATCACACCCATGAGATAATTTAGAGACAGAAAGTGTACTAAATGAAGCAATAAAAAGAAATTTTATTCATTCATCAAACATTTTACTAGGTGCTATATCTGGGCAAAGAGAAACAATATGTGATTCTACTAGGGTATTGTAGTTACAACTTTAAAAATTGCTTTCCAAGGCATTTGCTGTAATCTGAATCTCTAACTAAAAGGCTGAATAACTAGGAAATAACTCAAGAAAATAGACCTAAGTATTATCTTGGCAGTAATTTCACAGTAAAGTTGGTCTAATAAAAATTTCACATGGATTATGTCTTAATTGACTCTCAACCACTGTGACTCTTCGGAAGATACATGTCAGAGAATAAATGTTACACCTTGCTAATTTTAAACACACTTACAATATAATCTAAAACAAAGATTTTATCTGCTTGTTTTGCAAGTTGAAATAGCATTTTTAAGTTGAAATAGCATTACAGTTATTCATAAACTTTCTTTTGTTCCCTCTAATACAGATTTCTTACATTTTTGCTATGTGAAGTGCTTAGAAGACATAGGCAAAAAATAATTAAAGTATTCTTAATATTTTTGCATTTAGAGTCTGATTCATCTAAATCACTTTTTAGAATAAACATTATTTTCAGAACAGTTTTAGATTTACAGAAAAACTGTGAAAACAGTGTAGAGAATTCTCATATATCCTCACACCTAACTTCTCCTATTATTTTCTTATGTTAGTATGGTACAAATTGTTATGATTGAAAAACCAATATTGATATGTTATATCATCTAAAGTCTATGCTTTATACAGATTTCCTTAATGTTTCATTAGTGTTCTTTATCTGTCCTAGGTTCCTAACCAGAATAACACTGCATTTTGTCCTTGTGTCTCCTTAGGCTCCTCTTGGTCATGAAAATTTCTCAGGTTTTTTGTTTGTTTTTTGTTTTTGATGACCTGAGAAGTTTTGAGGAGTAGAGATAGGGTATTTTTGTAGAGTGACCCTCCATTGGTATAGGTCTGATGTTTTTGTCATGATTCGATTGAGATCACAGGTTACTAGGGAGACCCATGGAGGTAAAGAGCCATTTCATATCAAGGTTACCAACATGACTTGTCATTATTGATGATAACCTTGATCATCTGCCTGTGGTAATATTTGTCAGATTTCTCCATGGTAAAGTTATTCTTATTTTCATCTTTTTCCTATGTTTGGAAGGAAGTTACTGTGTGCATCCCACACACAAGGGGTGGGGAACTGTGTTCCACCTTCTTGAGGGTGAAGTAGCTACATAAATTATTTGAAGTTATTCTCAATGGAATATTTGTCTACTTTCCTCTGTTTATTTAATAATTTATTTATATCATTATGGATTCATGAATATTTACTTTATACTTTGGGTTATAAATACTAATTTATTCATTTCACCAAATTGTTCAGGTTTGGCCGTTGAGAGTTCTTTCAGTTGATATCTGTGTCTCTTTGACATTTTAACTTGACACATTCTCTCTTTTGTTCTTTCTTTTCTTTCTCTTTCCATTTCTTTTATTCATTATGATCCAAAAATAAAAAAATCATATGTGATCTCAAATTTTGCTGTTTGAAGATAAAGTAAGTCTCTTTGGAGCCTAGGCAGAAGTTCCTATGCATCCAGGGACAGATAAGGAAACTGTTCTCGGTTTTCTCATATCTAAGTTGAGGGGACCGGTTTCGATATAATTAATAATCCTACCAGATTTAAAGGTGCCATGATTATGATTTTTGGTCACTTCCAGGCTGTTGCTAACAAATATCACAAAAATTGTGAATTCATTTATTTCATTATTGTTTTCTTTCCTTTCTAGATCTTTGCCTTGGCTTTCAGGATACATTTTAGAACTGGAGAAGAGTTTCAGGCCTTTCGAATTTCTGTTGTTTTATGATCTACTGAAGGCCATTTCATAAATGAGGTGCTCAGGACAGCAAAGCTGGCCAGTACCTTTAAGCTGTAAAAGAGATGGTCTCTCACATCATGGCCACGTGCCGGAGAGCTGTGTGTATGCGTGTATGTGCATGTGCGTGCATGTGTGTGTGTAAGGAGGGATCTTTAAGTAGAAATTGAGAGCACACATTTATAAAAGATACATATATATTTATATATTGTAAAAATATAAAATATTTATAATATATTTATAAATTATATATAAGTAAATTATATGCATATATACCTAATAAATATAAATCTATAATAAATATAAATATATAATATATACTTACATATCAAGGATATATAATTTTATATATAAATCAGATCCTTTATATATCTATCTGTACACACACACACACACACACACACACACATATCACAGAAGAAGAAAATTTAAAACTAACTCATTGAAACTCCTCTTTCTCGAATGAGTCATACTGCGGCAAGTAGACAGGAATCTTTTGCATCTTTGTGAGGCTGTAACATGATTAAATCATGGAGTATCTGGCCTTTCCTTCCCTCTGGCTTGGCTTGGCATCCTCAACGTTTTTCCATCTCCTGCAATCCAAGGATGTTCCTTTCTTGCTGAGCTGGCAGTTTGGACTTCTGTGATGAAGGGTCTAGAGGACATGGAAACAAGGAGAAAAAGGAAGGGGTTAGCTAGAGGCAGTGAAGGGGTTTTCCAGGGAGATTGGGTAAGAGAAGCACAGTAGAAAGGATGTGAGAGAAGTGGCTGGAACAAAAACGGGGTGCTAAGAAATATTATCCTGGCTCAGGTACCCCTTTCCCATAATATGAGAAATCTAATGACTTTGAAACTCCTTTTTGCTGTTGGAGTGTGGTTTGAGTGGTGATACGTTTTGGCTCTGTGTTCCCACCCAAATCTCATCTTGCAGCTCCCATAATTCCCACGAGTTATGGGAGGGGCCTCGTGGGAGATAACTGAATCACGGGGGCGTGAGGAGGTCTTTCCTGTGCTGTTCTCCTGATAATTAATAAGTCTCACAATATCTGATGGCTTTAAACACAGGAGTTTACCTGCACAAGCTCTCTCTTTGCCTGACGCCATCCACATAAGATGTGACTTGCTCCTCCTTGTCTTCTGCCATGATTGTGAGGCTTCTTCCCCAGCTAGGCGGAACTGTGAGTTCTCCATTAAACATCTTTCCTTTGTGAATTGCCCAGTGTTGGGTTTGTCTTTATCAGCAGCATGAAAATGGATGATACAAATGGCAATGCTGCTTGGTAACCAAAACACATAATTAGTGACTCTGTAAGTGTCACAAAAGTTTCAGCTCTTTGCAAGGAAAATCAATGGGTTTACTGGAGGAAGTCTTGAGAAGTACTTTGGAATTGATCCTGTTTTCCTTGGAAGTCAGCATTAAGGCATCATTGATATGATGTTACAAAGACCGGAACTGTATTGCAGGGGCACAGATTGGAAATCCCGTGAGGATGGGTCTTCACCTGTTCTGATCGTTGATATATTGGAGGAGCGACATACATCTTTTTGGAATGAATGAATATTGAGTAAATAGGAGAATCTGTGTATTCAGCATCTCTGATTCATACTTATTGAGGGCAGTTTCGCTAAAGAATGGTTCTCTGGACCAGTCCTAGGGAATTATATCCTAAGTTTGTTGAGAGAGAGAAGCAGCAAAATATGTGAGAAGTTTAGAGTTGAGAAAAAATGAAACTATATGAGAAAATAGGTGTTGGTGATAGAGGTGGATTATTTGCAATTCTTTTCTATAACACGTGACATTCTTAACTGGATGTAAGAGAAGAAGAAGAAACTACATGTGTTTGAGGTCATCAATCTCCTCTGTAATAACTGTCTCTCCTGCAACATGAGGACTAGGAAAAATGGTTGTTGATATAATTTATGGGGCCAGGCACCATAAAATGTAAAGATATTTTTTTCTTATAGTTACTATTAACTAGTCTTATTTTTCAATTTGTCTTATACAAACCAACAAAAAGCCACATCTTATTTCTTTCTAAAACAAAAATCTTATGTGAGTTAATCTACATAACAGATAAAAGCTGAAGGGTGTGGAACTTGGGCTGCCCTTAAGCACATGCTTACAACCCTTCAAATGCCACTGAGTACAGCATGGAAACTGCCCAGCTGGCCCACGGGTCTGATTTCCAGCGATAGGAACTGAGGGTCAGAGGCAGTTCATGATTCACTGAGAAACCCAGTTCTCTTCTGCAGTGTGTCTCAAGTCAGTGAAATTGGTTTCTGTGTTAGCAGGGTAAAAAACATTGTTACGTGATTGCTATTTCTCTGATCTCGAGAAAAATGCTTAGTCTTTTCTTTTTTCCTTTTACTTAGCTTGGCTGTTTCTCTTCTCACCCTGCCCTGCTTCCTTTAGTAATTAGTTTTGGAAAGAAATAACTCACATTGTAAAAATGATCTGGAAACTCAAATTAAAATTTTTTTCTTGCCCACATGGATTTGTGTGATTCATAGTTGCTTTAAAGCCATAGAAATGGGCTTGCACAAATTAATAACAACTTTTCATAAACAGACTTCATTGTTCCCTGCTAAAAATATTCCAGTCAGGCTTTAATTGAAAGGAAAGGTATGATAGGAATCTATCTCCATGGCAGAAATGCTTTAAAAGTAGTTTATGCTTCAGCGATAATCTATGACAGTTTTTGAAGATGTTTGGGGGTTTGTGTTTCACAACTACCTAGGCAGATGAGAGGCAAGAAATAGAAAGGACACAAAGCTATTTATGCGGATTTTGAATGATCACCCAGTTTGTATGGCTACAGCTGGGTGAGTCTTCACTTAATTATATGCAGAGGTGAAACTAATGGTGCTGTGATTATGAAACTGAAACTGGTTAGGAAGGTAAATTACCTCTCTCTGTGTGTAACTTGCCAACCTTGTGGATTAGTCTCTACCTGAATAGAAGACCACATGTAAGATCTTGATAAGAATAATAAAGACTTATAGTTATTTAGAATTAATTTTGAGTTAAAACAAGGTTCCTCGGGCCATCTCATAAGTCAAAGGGAGACCAAGAATCAAATTTGTTTCAGTTAGAAGGATGTTGCTGCAGGCCAGGCATGGTGGCTCATGCCTGTAATTCCAGCACTTTGGGAGGCTGAGGTAGGTGGATCACTTGAGGTCAGGAGTTTGAGACCAGCCTGGCCAATATGGTGACAGAGAAAGACTCTGTCTCAAGAAAAAAATAAAAGTTGCTGTATAAATGGTAGGTTTTGTTAGAAAGTGTTAGAAAGTGTCTCAGCACTGACTTGCTCAGTTATACCATGATAGAGACCTTAATAAGCCATACTCTATGGTGCTCTTTCCTGCTCTAAGTGATAGAGTAAAGTGGGGCAGTCAGTATGTCTAAGGAACCAGGCCAGCAAACCTTAGAGCAGGTTTGGGGCTCAGTCAATACAAAGGAGGCTTCTTTGATAGCAAGTAAGCACTGAAGCAAAGTAACTGGGGTCCAAGGTTCCATATTTGAGCATAAATAGAAACTAAGTAAATTTAGGGTGTTCATCTTTATTTCTATTTTTTCTGATTTGAGAG